GAAATCACCTTCATCTGGTAAAAACAATTCAGAAAGAATTTTTCGTAACATTTTGACATCACCAACTGTGCACTTTTCAACAATTCCACAAGAGAATGTTTAAGTTTCGGCTTATCTTTAACCTCTGAGGTGGTAATTTCCTTCCACTCCATATCAGAAAACAGTGATTTGGTGCTAAATCTACAGTGTCAGTAGTCGATAAGGCTTATAAACATCAGGCAATCGAGAAGGTCACCTGTGCTCCAACACTGCTTTCGTAGCTCATCGAGAAGACTTGAATGATAGACATCGAGAAGACCCCTACCACGCTACCTATCCTTAAAAAAAAACTTTCACGAATACTTGCCAATTTATAAAGTTTAAGAAGTTCCAAAGCTTTTTCGCGCCTTTGACCACTCTCTGTATCAACGATCAACTCAAGAGACTTGAGGTAACACTCAATTTTTTGCATATAAGGTTCTAGGTCACATTCATTGAGGAATTCAATAATATCCCAATCCGACACTTTTCGATTAAATGCTCATGTATCTATTTTGGAAATGAACAAAAAGGTAAAAAGCCGAGATGCAAAAAATTCAAAGTTCGCCACGGTAGTTTTTCACAAAGGATTTGGTGATATCACGTGAATTATCCGTGACTAAATGGAATTAATAGCTGCGAACGTGGCAAAAGTTTCATTTTTAATAGAACTTATGGTTATTTTTTTGATATATCAAGATACGCGTGAAAAAAGTGGTTATTTTTTGATATACCTTTAATTATTTATTTATAGATACATCAAAAAGATAACTATTTTGTCACATGAAAATTTGATATATCAATAAAAATAACCATAGGTCGAAGTCTTTGCGTGAACGTTAAGTGCAAATCATATTAAGATTATCTGGTGATAAATAATTACTACTGTATACTTTTTATTCAATTTGAGAATCTCGCGATTCCTAGAAAATCCATATCAAATTATCAAAACACCTCCATTTACATATTTAACAATGAGGAAAGGAGAGAATATCAAACTTCTTTGGTTTCTCTTGATTCGTAAAACAAGAATTGACGTTTTGAATCATTTCCTAAGGATAAAAATTATTTAGTTATTGAAAAAAAGTTGCACCAAAATTATATATGATTTATTGCAGTTAACTCATGGATCACGAATTAATGTTTCATTACATTGTAAAGGTCGGTAAAGATAACGAGCAGATAGAAGTGTAGGGCAGGAACGAAGAGGGAGGAATAAAACATATATTAAATGCCTGCCGGATCCTAGGCCCCTTTGCATAGTAAAGAATGGCAGTTCTATTACTACTGCTATCATCTAAAATTCTACTATCGAAAAATTATTTCTATTGCTACTACTAATAATAACGGAATTATCTTTTTTTCCTGGTTTTCTTTCTCAATCAGGCATCAATTTTATCTAATGTGGTACGTAGCGGGGATTTTTTTTGATGTCTATAGAAACTTGCAAACTGAGTCCAATTTCTTCAAATAGAATATTGTACATTTTTGTGGGATCGTTTTCCTTTTTTCTTCATTCATCAAATATTGCAGTAAATTCATCCCAGATAGTTTGGATTTCGGTAGAATATTCAGTTTGTTATGGTTGCGAAGATTCGTGACCTAATTGTAGAATGTAGGTTATTAAAAATATAAAATAGTTATACACAGAATTTACAAGTGTTTACCGTAAAAAACGTGAAAATCTCCTGAAATTTTCACGTTTTCTTACAGTTTTTCGACTTCGCTCGTGATTTGCAAAGCGTAGAGCGATTTTCTACTAAGATATTTCTATATATAAAAAAACCATCTTGTTCTTGGCTACAGTATAATATGTGTTTCATCCTGATAACATCGATATTCGCGGAGTTATTATAGTTCAAAAGAAAAAAAGTCCGTGGAAAATTGGGTGAAATTTTCCAGAAATTTTTTGCCCGATTTTTTCACGGAAATTTTTTTTAAACTATAATAACTCTGCGAATATCGATGCTATTGAGATGAAACAGTGTTTGAAAATCCTGTGCAGAATATACACAATTTAGAATTCTATATGCAAAAATTTGTGCGGTTCATGTGCGGAGTTTTCAAATTTTGTGCTATCGCACATCCGCACATTGAATTTCAAACACTGGTCAGAATAAAGATTCTTTTTTTATATATTCAGTTTTACGAATATAAACATAAAACAGGATTAATAGTAATTTATTTAATAAGTAAATTATGCATAAAAACATATTTTTTAAGTTTTACAAATTTTAATTAAAATTTCAATTAAAATTATTCAAAGATATTAAATTAATTAAAAGTAGAAGCTTTGTAAATAGATCTGGTTCTTGTCTCAAACCCTTTTTTAGAACCAGAATTTTTCTTCTCTCTTATAACATTTAAGGTTTGATTAATAATAGCTTTGGCAACTAAGATTTCCTTCAGCACAGATGCAAGCGGTTCGGATTTGGTTAATTGGTTAGAAACTTCACAAACTTTACGATGTAGAACGCGTGAAATATATCCCTTGGGACAGTCCATTACCATTGTTCGAATTTTGGTAGGTCCATGAATAATACCAACTAATTGTAATCGTCTCAAATATGATTCCTCGTCATTGCATTCACCCGAAAGTTGTGTCACCATGTCTTTGAGCATTTTGCAAATTTTTAAAGAAATAGACGGATAACCACCTGTCCACCTTTTTTCCACCTCAATTGCCCCAAATTCCAAATGACTACTGCATAATCTAAATATTCCATCACTCTTGTGACCAAGATTTTTCTTATGTTTTCCTTTTCTTGCTTCATTTTTTCGTTTGCATGATGCAAAACTCATGTCCCCATGTACTAACTTAATGTCCATATTTTGAAAAGCTGGATCAATCAAGCGGTTCCATACGTCCACTTCATGATCTACGAAAACCTTTTCATTTTGCCATACAAATAACATTCCTCGATAGGCATAATTTATATAATCAAGTTTAAATTGAATATCCTGATCGTATTCTTCTTCTTCAGATAAATATGATTCAAAAACAACCTTTTGTAATTTCTTGACATCTTCAAGAGTGTACTTTTTCATTAATTCTTTGACATTATGTTCAAGCTTTGGTTTAGCCTTAACTTCCGAGGTAATAATCTCAAACCACTCATCATCAGTAAACAATGATTGAACATCCTTATCACTATCATTAATTACGAACGAGTGTAATAATGATTCTTCATTCAGGTTTTTTGCATGATTAAAAATGACTTCTTCCACCTTTCGACCACTCTCCAATGTCCACATGCGATCTTGATCCAAGGATAAATAAGCTGTTTCAAATTTTTTCAAGCTTTGATCCATAGGTGATGTTTCCGAATCAGATGT